TCTTTGGCAAATAGAGTTTTTTATTTGCCTCCATGTGTCTGAGCAAAAGGCTTACACTATGGTGTTGATTTTTCCATTTTAGACATAATCTCCTGCCTTCCTGCTATGGGTGATGAGGGCGTTAGCACACATACCTTATCCACTTTCCCACCACATCCTCCCCATGTAATCATATCACATTGTTTGTTAAGTAAATATTCCATGAATATATTATTTTTACTGAGAAAACATTGGTCAAGCTGCTCCAGAAAAGTATTACATTTCCTTTCATATATGACTTCTTGTTTTCCCTGGACTTAAGAACTGGCCTTTTTTCCATTCGCACAATTTCAGGTCACCACCAATTCTCCCCACAAAGTCTCCAGAAGAGATGTAAAATCCTCCTCCACGTATTCCAACATGTCGGTTCCACCTGTATTTTGGAGCTGTCCTCCCGGAGCCGTCCTTCCTCCTGTTCCAGTGTGGGCTGGTGGCTCCCCGTCCTTGCTTCCCAGTGGTGATCCTAGGGCTCCACTCACGGAACCCTGAATTCCCTCTGCCTTTCTTCTGTGTCGCATCCATTTTTCAGATCCTGTGCCTTCCTTTCCTTTTGTTAATTCCCTTTCGCGGTGTATTTCTACGATCATTCAGAGACTGCCCTTGGTTGTCTGACCGGGTATGAACCTCCTTTGGACGTACTGTCAGTTCGGGACTAGCCTGATGCTACGTCACAGTGTCTGGTCATTCACCTTCCTTCACCTCACCAGGTAGGCATTCTGTCATCTCACATCATCACAAGAAGAAGAAGGGTGAGTACAGTACAAGAAGATATTTTGAGAGAGAGACCGAGAGAGACCACATCCACGTAACTTTTATTACAATAGATTGTTGTAATTGTTCTATTTTATTAGTTTTGTTGTTAATCTCTTACTGTGCCTACTTTATAAATTACGCCTTATCGTAGGGATGCATGTGTAGGAAGAAAACACAGCACGTATGGGGTTTGGCACTAGTCGCAATTTCGGGCATCTACTGGGGGTCTTGGAATGTATCCCCCGTGGATAGGGGGGACTACCATATAGAGTTCTAGACCAGAAATATGCTTTCTTCAGCATTTTGAAAGTCTTGTTGCCCTGTCTTCTAGATCCCAACGTTGCCGAGAAAGTTGATGCTCCTCTGACACCTAGCCCTGTGCAAGTGACCCCTAATCTGTTCTTGCCCCTTCTCTCCCAGAGCACATTTTAAGAATCTGCTCTTAACTCCTGAAGTATTTAAATTTCATGCAAATGTGCTTTAGGTGGGTCCTTCTCCCCTTCTAAAAAAATCCAGTGTGCTGGGCCCTTATTCTGGGCCTGTTTGGTGTGAAAAATCATATTCTTTAGTTTTGGGATATTTTAAAATATCGTTACGTCTGATAACTTTCCCTACATTTGTGTTGTTGCTGTTCTCCATAGAATACCTTTTGTTTTCTATCGGATGTCTTATGTTACCTAGTGCTCTTCATCACACTTTCTGAGAGACGATCTTGGCTTTAGCCCCGTCCTCTTTATTTCATCTTATTTGCTGTGTACTGTTTTCCAATCCCCCTACCGTCTTCTCAACATTCTCGCCTCATGGGTCGGCCATGACTTCTCTCCCCTCAAGGGAGGGGCGTGACCTCCGTTTATTCCATTCTTTTTCTTCCCATCTATTTTGATATCTGCTTTCCATGCTGAGGGGTTTTCCTGTGATCTTTGCCTCCCTTTATGCTAGGACAGTGGCCTCAAAGGTCGGCTGGAAACTCCTCAAGCGGGAAAGGGCTGGCCAGCCGTGGCTTCACTAAGGACCATCAGGCAGCAGCCCTGCTGTTCGTTTAGAAGCTTCCCTCAAATTCAACATGTTTGTCTTTCCTCTGGTTCCTGGCTGGAGAATGATGCCGGCAACCAGCACTCTGGGAACCTAGTTGGGAAAGAGGCCCGAAGCAGGGGTAAGATCACAGTTCGCTTCCTCTCATTCCGTCCAGCCCTCACCTCCTCCCCAGCCACTCCAGGCATCTCCAAACCAGGAGCTGCCCTGGGTCTCTTTCTCCAGAGGGAGAACTCCAGGCGCTCTGCTGGGATGGGGAAGGGCAGGGACTTGACTGCCCTGCAGACAGACTTATGGGTTCTCTTCCTCAGCCTTTCCACTTACCCTGACTTTCAGCGATACCTGGCCCTTGGATGCCCGAGTTTTTCTAGGTGTCTGCGGCACGAACGGGCATGTTGCTTGTTGGCGACCCCACGTGCAAGCTTTTAACCGCAGAGAAAGCTGAACACTAATTAGGGTTTCCTCCTCTTAGTCCTGTTGGGTTATGTTCTCTTTATTGTTTGAATACGAGTCCTGGGACGTGGTCTCCGTGCATTATCTCTCAGATCCCGTCCTCATCCTGTGAGGTAAGTACTATTATCAGCGCCACTTAAAGAGGGGAATGCAGCCTTCGAGGGAGTAGGTATCCATTCGGGCGCAGAGCTGTGGCGTGGACTCAGGCCTTCCAACCCCAGCGCCCTCGCCCTGAGCCACCATATTGGGCAGCCAGAAGCAGAAGGTGGGGCACAAGGTGCGAGAGCAGAGTGACCCCGTTACCGGGACCCAGCTCCTTCCAATCACCGCACGGCAGGCCAGTAAGTCGAGAGGCAGGATGCTGAGACAAGGAAAGCGACTTTGTCCAGAAAGCCGGCAAGCCCAGGAGATGGCAGACAGTTGTCCCAGCGATCCGTCTCCCCGAGCATAAGGCTGCGCTTCTTTTATGTTAGGGCAGGGGGACAGGGGTGGAGTCAAAAGGTGACTGACGTCTGTAGACAACCCAGGAAGGTGGTGTAAACTCTTTGTCCTTGGTCAGTTGATCTCTGTGTACAGGAATCTGGTCATTTCATTCCTGTAAATCATGCCATGGCGTAGTCATTTCTGTACGTACTTCCTTCTCTCCTCGGGTGAGGTGGGTTTCGGGGGAAAGGTGATTTCTGCAAATCTTAGCCGTAGCGTGCCTACGTGCAGGGCTAAGCAGGAGTTTCTAAGCTACAGGTGACAGCAGCAAGAGAAATGGGAACAATATGGAGTCAGACACGCTAAGTTTCTCCCTATCACAATCCCCGAAACTCCTCTGAATGTCTGCCATGGGCTTAAGTCTTCCACGGAGGCTAGTGGTGAAAATCTGTTACACAGGAGCTTTGGCCTCCGGGGGAGAGCTGCGGCTGGTGAAGGCAGCGAACTTTGTGTCCAGAACGGGTACTTCACAAGGTGTCTGGGTTTAAAAACGATTTGGAAAAGGAAGTGTTCTGAGATCAGTGTTTTTCAAACATTCTTATAATCAAATACCATTATAATCATCTGAGAGGCTTGAAAAATCCTCGGGGTCCCCCCTCCCCCCAAGCAACGAAATCGGAATCTCTGGATGTGGGACTCAGGACTATAGTGCGTGAAGCTCTCCAGGGATGCCCGTGGGCAGCCAGTTTAGAACCAGTGCTGTAGACCAGCGCTTTGCAAACTGTCAAGTGCCCCTGAATCACTGGGGATCTTGTTAAAAAGCAGATTCTGCATCACGAGGTCTATCCAGCTCCCACGTGATGCTGCTGGTCCTGGGACCACGTTGCATGTATTGGGGACGTTGATGACACGGAGCAGGTCCAACAGCAGGAAAAACTAGCCTGGGAGGCAGCACCTAAAGTTGGCATTAAAGTATGAATTTCAACCTCATGGTTAACTTCTTTTCCACAATGACTATAAAAATGTATGCATTGCAGAAAGCGATGTGAATTCCGTAACAGTTCTAAACCATGTAAGGAGAATATTAATTAGCAAAGGCTTTCATGCGTCTAGAAAGTATAGATGTTACTGAAGATGTCATTAAGGAGGGGGGCGGTTTACATGTCCTGTTAGGTTTATGACCCAAACAGCCAGTTGAGCATCCAGGTCTCCCGGATCTCAGAACACCCCGGGGCCACCACACCTCTCCGGTGGTGGCTTCGCATCGGCTCAACTCCTCCAGCAGCTTTCCTGCAGAGTCTCCTTCAAGAGCAACACAAAAATCCCTCCCCTTGAATGAAAAAGAATAACCTTCTCTCTCCCTTGAAAGCACCTACCTGAATGCTCCAAACGCAGATGTTCCCAAAGACAGTAGTATTGTTTCTTAGAGGAATTTCAATATGTTAAATATTCCTACTTTCTTAGACCATGACGAGACAGACATCTAGGTTTACAAAATAATTATGTTCATGTGCATTTGTATAGGATGATTAAAGAATTCCAAATGTGCCCCAAGGGGTCCAAGCATTCAGGGAATTCCTGCAGTGCTAAAGAGTACCTCCTTCCTCCCACCCCCACCTGGCCTCTCAGATTGTCTCTGCTTTTCTCCACCAGCAGACGTGGGGATCACATATCAAAGAGAAAGAATAGTTCAAGAGGAAATCTGTACTGTCCTTATTTTATAAATTGGGTTTAATAATTCATCTAAAAGCGAATTTTTAGCAACAAGGTTTGCATATAAAAAGGGAACATGCCTTCCCTAAATAGGTATCTGTTACTCTTGCTGCAATGCTGAGTGGGGAGAAAAAAGGCCAGTCAGGTCCAAGTGCCTCTTTCAGATTCTCTAAGGACATCGTGGTCTCCGGCCCGTTAGGCAAAAGTGATTTGAGAGCAAGCTTTGCAAGGAAAGGAATTTAAACCACACCCTAAAAGCCTCCTCTTTGTCGCTGCAGAAATCCACCTAGAGGTCATTGCAACAAACACGTATATTCCAAAAAACGTCTGCAGACTGCAGGCCTGTTCATTTCCTGGTCCTAAAACGCCACCTGCCCAGACCCCCACTATTGCCTCAAATACCAAACCCACGGCGTCTTGTAAGTCAGACGGTGTCGGACTTGAGGGTCTGCAGGTCTCCACGCGCTCACACAAAGCTGTTCAGAATGTCAAGAAAATCAGTCATTCACACAGCTGTGCTGCTCATGCGTGACAAGCTGACTTAAAATATTTGTCACTCCAACTTGCTGATGGGGAGGAGGGGGAGTTGGTAGAATGAAAGGGGAGGAAAACGAACAGAAACCTCTAATTGCCCAGGTTTGCTGCCTTGAATATTTCCGCAAGTAGCTCTGAGGCAGGCGGCGGCACGGTCCATGTTTTCAGACCTGACAATGGGTAAGTGGCCAGGGAGCCAAGGCCCCGCAAAAGAAGTGATTAATACCTCCTTTTTCAGTTTATAGACAGCATCTGTCTCCTCACCTTAGAAAAAAATTGTTGGAGAATTAACTTTCCTAATTTCTCTCTCTAAAAGTCCCTATTTAACCATATCCTCTGCAGAGTCCCATTCAGTCAGGGGAGCATCCGAATAAACCACATTTTCCAAATGTTTAAAAAATTTGCAACAATATAGTCTTTCTCTTGAAGCCCCGCACATTCCAACATTACATAGGTATTTTTAAAGTGTGTCATTTGTTTAACAGAGTCTCTTGAACAATGAGCCAGAATGAGGCGGGGGTGGGGGGTGGGGGTGGGGGGAATGGACACATTCATTCTACCTAGAGGTGTGTGGACTGAGTCTACCTTTCTTTTCTGGAAGGTATGTGACCCCTTTGAAACCGTGATATTCTTTGACCTGGCAACTCCATTGCTAGCCATGTGTCCTAAGGGAATAGTCAAGGTGTGTCAAAGATTACTGCATTCTGATGTTCACTATTTATAATAGCAAAACTAAATGTTAAAAAAACAAGGCTAGCAATTAAATTATGGCAAAATCGTATAATGAAATAGTCATTAAAAAGAGGTGTAGGAGAATATCTGGCAGGGAAATGTTCATTGACGTATTGTTAAATTTAAAAGAGTGTAAGGCAGAATGTACATTATACTGTTTTAAATTTTTTAATATAGCCATTTTAATTTATTATAATACATATGCATAGAAAAATGACTGGAAGGATTTTTCAACAATCTATGGTATAGGGGGCGCTGAGATTTTGTGCTCTCCTACATTTTCCTAATAGGAATCAAGAATCAAACGTGTTCAACTATATGTAATGTTACAGTTAGAATAAAAGATGCTACCAGTAGGTTTAAAATGACGGTGACCTTTATTAGATAAGGCGTTGCGAGATCCCACTTTGCCAAGCCACAGTCAGCTACTCTGATGCCTTCTGCGCCTTCGTGAGCGGCCTCTGGGTTTCGGATGAACCGAAATGGTGTTTGACCTGGAGGGACGTGAAACGGGTCCATGACTCTACGACTCTCCAACAGGAGACCAAGGGCTCCGGCCTTTAAGAAATAAGGAGCGGCCGGCAAGATGGAGATTCCGAAGCCACGCTGAGCTCAACAGCTCTGCGGCCCAACCTCTCAGTGCCTCGCTTCCCCCTCCGGAACCCGAGAGGGACACCGGCTCCTCCTTTCCCGGGTGGTCACTGAGGATAACCTGGGTGAAGCCGAGGGAAGGGTGAGAGCGGTGCCCGGGCGCAGAGTAAGCGCTCAGCGAACGTCGGCGGAAAACCCCGCCTCGGGTCCGGCCGAAGCGCCCGGAACCCCCCGCGCGCCTCGCGGGCCACGGCGCCCAAACCCCGG